AAAAAAAAAAAAAAAAAAAAAAAAAAAAAAAAAAAAGAACAGCAATTTAGTATATTTTAACCTACTGTTGCTCTCATATTAAGGTAGTTCCTACCCATTCTAATTTTTTTTAAGATTTGGAATTTTAGAAATTATGAATGATGCTGATTATTTTAAATGTTTTTTCTACATCTATTGAGTTGATATATAAAATATTTTAAGGCTTGGTAGTACATTACAATGCAATAAATTACAGTGATTGATTTCTAAATACTAAGTCAATGTTGTTTTTCTGGACTAAAATAAAACCAACATTTCCTGTTTAGTATTTTGCATCTATGTTCTGGAATGAGATAGCCCCATGATTTTACTCTCTCATATTGCTTTTTCAGATATGACCTATGCCCATGTGCCTGCTCTTTGCCATTTCTAACTCTGACTTGATTTGTTTCTGTTTTTGTTTTTTGAGTAAGTGGTTGCCTTTCTCTGATGCATTGCAGTATTCTTCAGGTAAATCTTCAAGTTTATTAGTTTTGTCTTCAAATGGGTATAATTTCTGTGCAATATTTCTTTCATTCTAAATTTAAGAACCTCTTTTATATCTTCTTGGCCACTTTTCACATTTTTTAACCCCTCCTGTATGGGCCTTTAACAGCATCCATTATTTCTTTAAATATAATAATCAGTAGCTATTTAATATTCTGTGACTAGCATGTAAATTCTTTGTCAGTCTGCTTCTCTTTGTTTTTTTCTTTTCTACTAATTTTCACTTAAAGATTCATATCTTCTTGCATTTTTAATGCTTTCTTTTTCTGCTGTTTGTATTCCTTCACAGTTATTGGTTAGAATCCTTAAAGATTTGGAATAGAGTTCCTAGTGCAAAGAGAATTGGCTTTTGCTTCTATCTGTTAGCTGTGGGCACTTATCAAGCCTGTCTAAAACCACTAGATTATTGGTTTCAGGTTGTGTCGAACACTCAATAACTATGAATTTGGGCTGCCGGTTCTCCGAAGAGCAGCTTGCTGTCACAACTCCCCGGGGGCAGCTCTTCCCTCGCTGCTCCATGGCAAAGTACAAAGAGCAATTTTCCTCTGCAGTCCTCAGAGACTAGAGTCTTTTGCACGCCTGCTGTTATGACTGGGCCTTTTTTATACTCTTCTTCTTAGGCAGGCCATTGTTTTCATCTCCTGAGCCTGTGTCACTCACGTTCACTTTAGTCTGGCCAGAACTCAAAATGTTAAAGCCTGCTTTAGTGTTCTTACCTCTAGGTTTCAGTCTTCAATCTATTACCTTCATGTTCCTTGCTTTCTGGCCAGTAATCAACTCTTTAAAAAAAATTTTTCATCTAGTATTTTAAATTGTTTTCTGAAGGAAAATCAACCTGGAAAACTTTCATGCCTTATTACTGGCAACCAAAGTCCAAAGG